TATATATATATATTTCTATTAATCCTTTCGGCATTCGGTTTTCGGCCAACTGTTTCCTATTTTCGGTATCGGTTTCGACCAAGAATTTCCCATTCGGTGCACCCCTACAAGATATTTTAGGTTTTGTGCTGATGTTACTCACGCATAGTCTCTTCTGGACAGAGCCCTGAGAGCATCGGGTTGGAAGCCGCTCCAGGAAGCCTGTTTAGAAACAACAAAACGGATACAAACTCATGTTAATTAAAGACAATTAAAAAAGTACACATCCATGGTTACAAATAAGTAGCAGCATTGCATAACAGCAATGAAGTAGAAACAAGTAACAACATTTAAGAAAGTGTCATGTAATAGTCCTAAAGGAGCAGCCATGATTATCACAATAGTAAATATTATGCATTTTACAACTGCAAATGTTAAGTGGTATTGTAGAACAGGGTTGTTATACAATTATGATACTCCTGTCACAAAGAAGTATGCCACAAATGACATGATATTACAATAAATGATGTTTGATTTAGACATTTCTCAGAGTAGCCCGGTAGACCATGAACAACTGTAAGCTTAAGGGACTTCATTCGAGCAGGACAGACATGACATAACCTTTAAATCTGTGGGTGATCAAATGCATGAGGAAGGTGACACTGTGCAAGATGTCGATTAGCTCATGTACAACAAAACAGCCTTTAATACGTTGATAAGCAGACGATCAAAGGTTTCTAAACTTATTAAACTTAGGAACAACATGTAAGAAATGTTGCACCATGCTAGGGGGTGGGGATGCACTCATTGAAGGTCACATCAATCGTGAGCCATTCTCTTACAACACGCATGCTTAACTTAAATCTAGTAAATTAGATACTAATTCAGTCATTACTTACATCTAATAAATAACACACATATAGAAATAATTTAAACTCTTTGTAGATTGTAGTTTCAACACATGACAGGTACTGCATACGGTTACATTAGCTCCAAACATCTGGTGTCCCTAATGCATTGTTAGCAAGTATGCACAAACTCTTAATACCGTGCTTATTAAAAGAGAGGAATAACACTGACCACTTCGAGCCAACGTTAGCTAACTAACGCCACAAGTGACATATTGGTAGTCACGATTAGGTAAGCTAGCTTCAAGCTAACACATTTAGCACGCTAAGCTAGGCGGCAGATTGTCAAATCTCATACATACACTCGTCACTAATATTAACGAATGTTTAATAACCTAAAATACATTATTTTGCAACCCACCTTCTTCACCAAAGAGGAGACATTTGTTGTGGAGTTCCTTTTCGGGAGAGACCTTGAAGCAATTTGGGCGACACTCAACATGTTTGACAACTCGGCTAACAGGCTAATGTAAAATAAATGCAAACGTAATAAAACGTCTTGTGTAGAAAGGAGCTCCCTGAAATGTTGAAAAGCGAAGAAAAACTAAAAGATGTCTATTCTCCGGGGTTCTTTTCCAGGGGTAGCGGCTTAGAGGGTTCGAGCTCGAGCTAAGGTCCAACACAAGAGCAACTGCGAAGCTTTTCTAGAATTATCCAACACATGTTGCACCAGCACCGCTGAAGGACCCCAAATCGGGCTTCACATTTACTGCCTGAGTGATATTAATGGTTTAAGCAACATTATATAATTCTTTATAACATGTAAGTACACTTTTTATTCTTTGTATTATATGCAAATCAAATTAGAAAAATGCTTGATACTCAATCGTATCACATTTCTGCTATTTTTGCCTTTTTTGTGATCAGTAACAGAAAAGGGCACACATGCGTAGTGGCCATGTGAAGGTCATGATGTAACCATGGATGTAATGTATAGATAGATGGGTGTGCGGGGACACCGGTGTCACATGCGTTGCATCAGTGATGCTGAATGAACTTACGTCTAATGGGTACAATATAATAGAATTTGTGTCAGTGGTGTAACACGTTAACGATATACAACTCATTATTATGCATTGGAATATATATTTTTGAGAGGGAAACAATAAGACGTATAGTACAACACATAGGACAAGAATGAGGTCTAAACCCAAAAGCAGAGGACAGGACTTCAGGATAATCAGAAGGGGGTTGACTATACATCATATTATAATATTATATTGATTATATAGGCAGGACTTGGAAATAGGATGCGATTTATAAATACGTTGTTTTACAATGATTACTTTGTATTAGATAACATAATGCTATGATAGGCTTTCTACACACTCCAATATAGTAGGTGGCAGAATAGAATAATAAGACTTACCTGCGTGTCTCCATTATTTATCAAGTAAAGCCAGAAGATTGATTATGATGAATTTGCATCACAAATTAACATACCCTGTTCACTATATCATTGTTCGTTTTTATTAACTCCACCAGCAATAGAAATAGGTAATTGAGTTCCTTTTTAAATATATAAACTAATACATGATTAAAATCTAAGGGACATACGCAGGTAGAAAACCTGCTCAGTTGTTTGTTCGGAATACTTTGTATATGGGAAAATCATGATTATAAGGGCATTTCAAAAATGTATGCACAATAGCCATCTTCCAACTAAGTCCTAAATTTGAGGCAGAGATTGAGAGGGAGAAGAGTAGAGAGGGGCTCGGTGCAAGTCCCTGGGCACCCTGAGCTTATGTTCAATGGTTAGGGTTAAGGCTAGGGCCAGTGTGTATAACTTATGTTCTGCCCAAATGCATGGGTGTTGCCATGTATCAATTTCAAAGGTAGGCTATAGCTGAAATAAGGCTTTGTTGTATGCAACGCGGCCTGTCTGTCAACATCTAGTCCACATTTAGAGATCCTTATTTTCAGAGACACATGTGGTATGTCAGATAGGAAGTTCATTTTGCAATCAAATATGTTTACACTACCTTTTCTATTTTGTATTAAACAAGACATGAAAAACGAATGAAACAAACATGGTATTACTCTGGTCTCGTCTACCCATACTATATTGTTCTATGGTCTACTATGGCTCTACCTCGGATTGAGATCAGAGACTGCATAAAGGCTGAGTCAATCTTTAAGGCCCTGATTCCTCCACTCAATTATTCCATGTAACCAGCAGATGTCGCTCTTG